GGGAGTCAAAGCGATCCAGAAGCAGCTGGAGAACTGTGCTTGGCAGGTCAGTGGATCGGGCGCCAAGCTTGTCAATGTGAGTGTGAAGGAATTGTTGATGAGCCATGCCAAGGTTCTTGCGGAGAGCAATGCGCAGCTCGCCAAAGGGGTGGAACATTCGCAGCGCACTTACGAAGGAGTGATCGCCCTCAACGAAAATCTCAAAGAGGGGAACCAGTTGCTCAAAGAGTTGATTGAAGGGCAGCGGATCTCCATTCGGCATGCTGCTCAGAATCTCGCTCAGCAACAAGCTTCGACTCCACCACCCTTGCCGGCGCCACCAGTGTCGATGGGAAGTCAAGGGGCCAGTACGATCCCGGCAGCCTTTCAGAATCCAGCACTTGGAGCGGGCAAGATTCCTGGTACCAGTTTGCCACAGCCGCCAGCTGTGCCAGAGCGACACCCAGGAGTGACCCCGGCTACTCCAATGGATGATCCAGCGCCAGGGTTTAAGAAGGTGAAGTTGGCGGATGGACCTACGATGACTATCCCAAAAGGATGGCAGCCTGATCCTAACTTGTAGTGCCTTGAATGGTGAACTGCCATCAGAGAAATGGCAGGATTTTTAGAAGGCCATTTTTGGCGGCCCAGCAGCTTGCACCACGAAAAAGAAAAAGGAGGTCATCTTTGTTAGTGTTTCCTTGTGTTTTCAGAACATCATGTGCCACCATGCTTGAACTTGGCTTGACCTTGGCTTGAGGCATGCTTGAACGTGTGATGTCAGGTTGAATTTATGGAGATATGATTTGGAGGCCATTTTGTTCGTGTCTTGCTTGCTTGTTGCTTGGGGAGTTCATGTTTGAAGATTTTATCTTGTCTTGAGAAAGCAAGAGAAAGCAAGAGAAAGCAAGAGGAAGCAAGAGAAAGCAAGAGGAAGCAAGAGAAAGCAAGATCAGATAGGCAGGTGGAATTAGACACGTGCAGTGTGGCAAAGGGTTTGTGATTTTGAGTTTGAGTTTGCTGTGGCAAGACGAGTTCACTTGATTCAGGATGTTTGGAACCCAATTTATGACCAGGTAACCTCTAGAGAGAGTTTCTTGTGATGTTTTGCGCAGTTGCTTGGAGCTTTGTTCATCGCAGGTTTAGCTTCTAGCGAGTTTTCTTGCGAGTTCAATTGTGCTTGTTTGCAACTATGTTCATTGCAAGTTCGTGTCTAGGTAACCTTGGTAGTTTTCATCTTTTGCAGTTGATGTCAACTTTGTGAACTTGTCAGGTCTTGAGGTCAGAGGTTCGCACGGCATGGTAACTCTAGGTCACCTTTTGCTTCCTGAGCTGACAGGTAAGTTGTCCTCGAAAGCCTTGTGCTTTTGAGGATCTCGATGATGAGGTTAAAAAGGGTCAATGAAATAAGGAATCAACCCATGAGATTCCATGACCCACCTCTGAGAGATCCTTCTTGCACGTTTGTCCTTGGTTGAATGCGTGTTGGTTGAAGGTCGAAGTTGATTCTTTGATGAATCTGGAGTTTTGCTTGGTTTGAGCTCGAGTTTACCTCTGGATTGATGTCATTGAGATCACCTTTGAGGGCAGAAGTTTGGATCTTAGTTGATGTCTGATCCTTAGTTGCTCCAACAAAACGAATAGAAGAAGAGAAGAAGACAGGAGAAGAAGGCAGGTAGCCCTAGGCGACCCAAGAAGGGGTGTGAAAAGTAGCGTACAGCGCACGTGTACAGCGTATGGCTCACCTAGTGCTTGCTTCTTTAGGGAATTTTCGTTTTTGGAGTGCTTGGGGTTGGAGTTGAGTGGAGGTCTGTGCCCTTTTTGTGTTTGACCTTTGACCACCTTAGCAGGAGGATGTTTGAAGTGGCAACTTGTGGCTAGGAACTGCTTAGAGAACCTTTTGGTAGAGCACGATGTCTTTCGAGACTGTTTGATGTAGTTTCCTTGCAGTTTGTGTAGTTTGGAGATGACTAGGTACAGTCATGTACTCTTTCAAGAAGAGTGGATGTGCTTCTAAGAAGCTAAGAGGACATTTGAAGACAGTCTATAAATGACTGTAACTTTGGCTCAAGGAGCGGGACCGAAAAGGGCGCGTTGCTACTGTGTTTTCACAGATCTGGGCTCAAGCCGCTGCAGCAGACTGGGCAGCAGTTACGGGCGTCTTGCTGCACCTGCATATCTCCCCTTGCGCAATAGCTCTCGCAACCTCACACTGGGGGGTTTGGACCTCAGTCCTGATCCTATTGCTTGCAAGAGGCATTGCCTGCAGAACGCACCCTTGCAGTGGCACTCGTGCCTGGGGGACTTAACTTTACCCCCTATTCGCGCCTGATCAGCCGGCCAGCAGATTACGAGATACACTATGTCCAGCTCAACGTCATAATCGCGCAAACGCTGCTTCCATTGAGACTGGCTGCTGCTGCCTTTCTGCGCGCCCCATGGGATGATGGCACATGCCCTCGTATAGCCGAGATGGTGGTAGAAGCCATCCCGATTGAGATCCAAGGTCCTCCCTGGCACTCACCAGTGGACAAGTACTTTATCCATTTGAGGACTCTCCACACATCACGCATGATGGAATCATCCTGCACGGGCGAAGTGCCCAACAACGAGCAATGGTGCACCGTATCCTTCACCAAACGGGTGTCTCCCCTCTCCCATATCGGAGTAGGACAAGCCCGGCCTCCTGAACCTGGGGAAGCATTTGCTGCCTTCCCTTCTCACAATTACACACGCCGGCAGTCTCCATAACTACGGAAAACCCGGTGTCAACGATCCCACCATGGCTTTTGCCGCAACCTGTTCCTGCCCCCTCCCTCTCGCAGCCAGCAGGAAGAGGTGGAGTCAAAGGCTCACGTGTCTCTAGTCAACTGGGGGTATATGCCTTGCAAGCGCTCACTGAGCAAGATCTGGCTTCTGGGAACGACGCGCCAAATGCACGTCTTGGATTCGACTTTTCCGTTGCATTTGTTTTTCAATTTTGCAGTTGCAGGCCATGCCACTGTTGCGCTGCACTTGATTTCGGTTCATCCACGCAGCCTCATTCGGCTCTGCCATTGTTCCACTGCCGCAGTCATCCAAAGTTCCCTAAAATTTGGCTCGCCATTGCCCGCCCGCACTGCATCACGGTTTGACCGCGTTTTTTGTCGGCTCGTCCATGCGACTGTGCTGTTTCGGTTACATCTTGGCCACGTCAGTCAGTGTTTTGTGGCCTGCAACTGGCAGCGTTGACCAGCGTTTGGCCCGTTACAGTTTGGCTCGCCATTTCTCGGCAGTGAAATTGTTGGGAGCAGCTACAGCCATGCGGTTTCATGAGGTGGACGTAGGCTCTTTGAGCAGCCTACACCCTGCCCCAAATTGACCGATGTTTTTGGGTTGCAAAATGTTGTTTGCGACGGCACTATATGTCCTGGTGGGACTCTCAATCGCAGAAACGCTGCCCCGCGCACGGCCCGTCCCTAAATTGTTGAGCATGCGTAGCCAAACAACCCAAATATAGAAAATTGTTGGTGCATCTCTGCATTCCATTGGCTCTGCTCTTGCTCTGCTCTTGCCTTGCGGGCTGGAAACAGAGTCTGTGGTTCCAAGAAGTTTTATGTGCCTTGGTTTGATGTTGACCCTTTTTGCCATGGCGGTTTTTATCCCCTTGGGTACCGACGGCAGGGGTTGATCTACAGCTACAGGATTTTACGTATTAAAGTCCTATGGGTCCAAGGTTGTTTTTTAGTTTGTCACCGGTGCTGAAGGGTTTTTTCGCGGCAGTGGTTTTCAGAAAATTCCTGTGCCCTAAGACCCTCCAGTGGGGGTCAGTAAACAGGAAAAAGACAACAAACCCCTGCCCGCCGACAATGTCTAGAAAATCCTGTGTCCCAACCCTGCAGGGAAAGGAAGCAAGAGTAAAATCCTAGGTTTTAAGGGTTTTCCGACGCGGAAGGGTTCAGGGCGACAGGCGGCGAGGACAACAGGACGATGCGAGCTGAGTGACTGAATGGTAAGGCCAGGAGCCCCTAGTAGCGTCCCTATACTCCCAGTAGCAGGGCGAGGAGCCCCTAGTAGCGTCCTTGCTCCTAGTAGTAAGGCCAGGAGCCCCTAGTAGCGTCCTTAAGCTCCTAGTAGCAAGGCCAGGAGCCCCTAGTAGCGTCCCTAGCCCCAAGTAGTGAGGCCAGGAGCCCCTAGTAGCGTACTTGCCCCCAGTAGCAAGGCCAGGAGAGCACTTGCCTTTGGTTGTGATGAGCCAATGTGAGTCTTCGTTTTCTATGTTTGCAGTTGCTTCGCCGCTCGGAGCCCGTTGATTGGAGAATGAGACAGGCACGTACGTAGGAAACACTTTCCTATTCCCTGCAGACCGTCCGCAAGCTGCCACCGGGAACTCGTTGCTCAAAAGCCACGGCTTCGCGAAGTTCCATTTGCCCGTGCTTTGCTGAGAAGTGTTGACCACCCATGTGGGTGACGACGGCACAGATGACGACTGCCAGACAGGGAGAACAATGAAACGCCGCAACCCCAAACCGAGTGAAAACTGCGTCCAGTGCTGCAGCATGCGCAATGTTGAAAACCGTGAAGGAATGCTTTCATGAACGGCGGCCTGCTCCCCCTGGACCTTTCAAGACGCCCGTCGGTTTCCAACAAGCGCCATGGAATTAAAATTCCTTCCTGCATGACACGTCTTAGCCTTCAAAATTTTGCGCCGCCCGTGGGAGCTGCTTAACCCTTTTCCATCAAATATTGCCCCTTCACCAAAACCCCGCCCCCTCGCGTTTTGGTTGGGTGATGGGCTTTGAACAATGATGGTGCCGGAAAATTCTTCCTCAAATGTGGCCGGAAAACAACACGAAAAATAGAAGACCTACTTTGCAAAGAAGCACACGGAACATTTCGAACGGGAAAAGGACAAAACCAAATTGGTGAAATAGATGCTTTCCAGGGGCGAGCGGATATTCCATGTCATGACCACATACACATACAACAACCACACCCAGCGACCCTGCAAAATCATCAGCTCACAGTTTCTGAAGTAGCCATATCATTCAAGCCACCCCGCACCGGAGGAGGTGTTTTCCAAGTTGACGGACATGCTCTCAGGGCAGGGTTTTCGCACCTCACTGGTTCAACAAACTCGACGCTCCATTTTGGTCGCTGCGCATAACTGGGGCGCCGAGGAAGGCAACCTCCGTCCCAGGCTTGCGCGGCAGAGACCGACATGCCAAGGTGATTTTCAATTGCTACAGTCCAATTGTTTGGACCTGCACACCTCCAATGGCCGTCTGGTTTTCTGCGCACCGCTACTGTTAAGTGAAACTGCCAGGCAGGCGCTGGTGTGGCATGGTAGTGCGGTTGAAGACTTGCTTGGGGAATGCGACCGGGGTGGTGGCATGGCCAGGTCCAACTCAGCCGCTGCTGCCCAGGATGAAACGTCCTGCTCAGCGCGGGCTAGTTCAACATCGTCCAGCAAACATTGTGCATTGTGCATGTGTTTGAGAACACTTCTACGCACCGTCAATGTTTGCATCACGGCCGCGCAGTTCATGCGCCAGAGTTCTGCTTGCATGGCAGGCCGGAGGGTAGAGCCTAGCCGCCAGGAATCCTACCCACTGCCCCACCGAAGTCTGACAAGTGCCAGGGCCCCTGAGCAAGCAAGGCGTGACGCCAACCTTTGGGCTGACAGTTTGGATGAGCGCTTCTACCCACCCATGCATGATAAGCCCCTGCGGATCATCGGAAACATCAAAGTTGGAGACTGGCCAGTACAAAACAGTTGGAGACTGGCCAGTATAAAACCGTCAGCAGCATGCACATGCCCAGTATATAAACAGGTTTCTCAAGGGCCTTCTGCGGCAAAAAGGCGTATGAAAAAAAAATAAATATTTGTCGTTTCCCACGCACGACGGTACGTTCGTGAAGTCTGTTGTTGGCAGATCAACCCACGACCTTGCCAGAACCATGTAGGGACAGAGGTTTTTGGGGTTGACAGAATCAGAAGAGCTTGCGTGCCAGTGTCAATTAGCCATTGTTTTGCCAGAGTCACAACATTGTGTGACCCGAACTCTAGCCACTAATTCATTTGCAGGCCATCGTGGCTCGCTTTCCGACGCCGAGCCACCAAGGCCTGCCTCCCAACAGCACCCGTGGAGCACCGGTTTTCCTCTCCCCCTCCCGACGTTCCCACTCCTGACATCCCGGGCGCTCATTCTATTCCCGGAGACTTCGAGGGTTGTGTTCCTCGACCGATGTAATGACATCGGAGTTGGGTGGTGATGTTGGTGGGGGGATGGGTTGCTGGAAGGGTGGCGCCCATCAACAGTGTGGCAGGAAAGGCTGCATCAGTTACAGTATGAGACAAGGTACCCATCAGTTTTTTTCACCAACACTTGGGGCATGTCTTGTAACATCGCTTCTAGGTTCTAGGTTGGCAAAAGCGGAGCCATAACATCTTCGACCGTGATGGGCATTGAAAGATGGGACTACGATTTTTTTGAAAATTCAGCACGCACGCGTACACGGAGCAGGGCCTTTGTATTCAGCATGAACTGGACAAACTGCAGTTGTTGAAACCCTTTTTTTGGGCACTGACTTGCCAATGTGCTGCCTATTTGCCTATCTGCCTAATTACACACACTCACACACTCGCAAACCACGTTTTTGCATTCTTTTTATACGTTCCACGTTGGCCGTTGCAATGGTTTTTGAGCCACTGGTGTTTAACGGTGTGTCACCGCGTGTTTTTTAAAACCAAGGTGGCTATTGAAGCGCGCGTTGCCACATCACATGCATGGTGCGAGGCCGCGGGCAGCCGTTGGTTCTCGTAACGTTCGGGCCTTGCACGAGTCAGAGCGGGTGAGGCCGAGAGACCGGTGCGACGGGCAAGTATGTAGAAAGGAAAGTTTTAACACCATCCACTACAGCAGGCGATTTGTGATTTTTTAGGCCCACACGTCATCCAGCCGAGTGATGAGGAGATTCAAGTCTCGGAGAAGGGTGCGGGTGGACTGTGACCAGCTGGGGCAGACTTCTGCAACGCAGAAAGCCACCTAACAAACCCAGGCCGGCCGTCCAAAAGCAATTGAGGCGCCAGACCATAACCAGTTGGAAAGCTGAATTGACCAAGCGCAGCGCTCCCAACCTGAGATGCCCCTGAGCGCCGGGGGTGCCGAAGACACTGCAGCTGCCGAAGCACACCATTTGCGCTGGGGCCCTGGAGGACACTGCCACTAGTGCCCTTGTGAAGCGCCGATTGCCGGCCACTTGTGCGTGTCACACCCTGTCCCCAAGGGTTTCGTTCTTACGGCTTGAGCTTTCTAGCAGGGGCACCGGCACCACCGGTTGGGACGCAGATTTGCAACAAACAAGTTGGAGAGGCACAACGCTCACGCCGTGGCACCCATGCCAATAGAAATCATGCGCGTGTTTTACTCGTTGCAGTTTTTGGCTTCATGATGCTTCATTGTCACGTTGCAGCCCCACGGGCAAGACCATGGCGATCGAATTTGATTGCCCCCCTAGTGTCGTAAAAACATTGCAAGAGCTAGGACCGCTAGGAAGGTGTACATGGGGTTTCATGGAACGTCTCGGTTCCCCGCAGCTTTTTCAAGGTGCGCAATTTGTCCGTGGTTCTTCACCAAGAATGCCTTAACCAATCTATTTGCGATAGGTTCTCGAGGGTCCAGCCGGCCAAATTCGAGGCGCGCCTTTAACATCGCATTTGCAAAGAAGAGGACAAACGTGATGCATATATTTTAGTCAGGCCAAATTCTTCCGGGTTTCTTGGCAGTATTTGCGCAACCGGCCGACAATGTTGCGGCACGTAAAAAGCATTTGTTACTGAGGCTTTCTGAATTTGAGGCCTGGTCGGTGAGCAATGTTTGCACATTTTCGGTATGTTGGGCAGCGAAAGCTTTTAGGCGTATGCGCGACATGTCCAAAGGGAAGATGGCAAAGCTCGAAAAGAAAGCGCTTGCCATGTTTGCAGATGCTTTGGGTGGGTGGCGCTTGCTTGATTCAATTTTTGCTGTTGGTGTTCCGCCGAGGTGCCTATGAGGCCGACACAGCAAACCGAGCAACCCTACAGGCTCAAATGGAGGTTGCATGTTTGAGTGTTCATGTCGCATTTTTGGCAGGAGTGGCATGGTCCCCTGCGCAAGGTGCGCCGGACCACACAAATTACGTAAGTTATGATTTTTCATGTTCGGAGGTGTTGCTCGTTGGATTGCAATTTTGTGCCTCAGACTGGAAAGCAACTGGGTGAGCACACTGCAACTGGAGGCGCTCATCGAATGATGGGCTGGGTCTTCCACTGCCGTTTTGGCAGGACGCCCCCGAGAAAGTAAAAGAAGTAGTCGTGCCCCCCCCCGCCTCGAACTAGGAAAAGAAGTAGTAGTCGTGCCCCCTCCCCCTCTCTTCTACGAGGACCTCAAAGAAGGATCCTGCGCTACGAGGGCCTTGAAAAAGGACCCTGTGCTACGAGGGCCTTAAAGAAAGATCCTGTGCTACGAGGGCTTTAAAGAAGGATCCTGTGCTACGAGGGCTACGAGGGCCTTAAAGAAGGATCCTGTGCTACGACGAAGGATCCTGTGCTATGATCGAGGGCCTTAAAAAAGGATCCTGTGCTACGACGGCGTTAAAGAAGGATCCTGTGCTACGAGGGCCTTAAAGAAAGATCCTGTGCTACAACGGCCTTGAAGAAGGACCCTGTGCAACGAGGGCCTTAAAGAAGGATCCTGTGCTACGAAGCTACGCGGAAGTAGCAGTAGTCGTGTTCCCCCCCCCTCGGAGGATCCTGTGCTACGAGGACTTCAAAGAAGGATCTGTGCTACGACGGCCTTGAAGAAGGATCCTGTGCTACGAGGGCCTTAAAGAAGGATCCTGTGCTACGAAGGCCATAAAGAAGGATCCGGTGCTACGAGGAAGTAGTAGTAGTCGTGGCCCGTGTCCTGGAACTGGGAAAAGTAGTAGTAGTCGTGGCCACCCCCTCCCCTCCCTGTGCTACGAGGGCCTTGAAGAAGGATTCTGTGCTACGAGGACCTCAAAAAAGGATCCTGTGCTACGAGGCCTCGTCGAATCCTTTTTACAGGCCCTAAAAGAAGGATCCTGTGCCACGACGGCCGTAAAGAAGGATCCTGTGCTGGGACGCCGTTAAAGAAGGATCCTGTGCTACCAGGGCCTCAAAGAAGGATCCTGTGCCACGAGGGTCTTAAAGAAGGATCCTGTGCTGCGACGGCGTTAAAGAAGGATCCTGTGCTACGAGGGCCGTAAAGAAGGATCCTGTGCTACGAGGGGCTTAAAAAGGATCCTGTGCTACGACGGCCTTAAGGAAGGATTCTGTGCTACGAGGAAATAATAATAGTCGTGTTCCCCCCCTCCCTCGAAGTGGGGAAAGTCGTAGTAGTCGTGGCCACCAGGATCCTGTGCTACGACGGCCTTAAAGAAGGATCCTGTGCTGCGAGGGCCTGAAAGAAGGATCCTGTGCTACGACGGCCTTAAAGAAGGATCCTGTGCTACGACTCCTCGTCGAATCCTTCTTGCAGGCCATAAAGAAGGATCCTGTGCTGCGAGGGCCTTAAAGAAGGATCCTGTGCTACGACGGCGTTCAAGAAGGATCCTGTGCTACGAGGGCCTTAAAGAAGGATTCTGTCGTGTTGCCCCCCCTCGAAGTGGGAAAAGTAGTAGTAGTCGTGACCAGCCCCCCCCTCCTCAAACCCTGCTTCAAGAAGGATCCTGTGCTACGAGGACCTTCAAGAAGGATGAAGGCTCCTGTGCTACGAGGACCTTAAAGAAAGATCCTGCGCTACCCCGAGAAAGTAGTAGTAGTCGTGGCCTCACCCCCCCCTCCCTCGTCGAATGCTTCTTACAGGCCATAAAGAAGGATCCTGTGCTACGAGGGCCTTAGTGAAGGATCCTGTACTACAACGTCCTCAAAGAAGGATCCTGTGCTACGAGGGCCTTAAAGAAGGACCCTGTCTTCGACGGCCTTAAAGAAGGATCCTGTGCTACGAGGGCCTTAAAAAAGGACCCTGTCTACGACGGCCTTAAAGAAGGATCCTGTGCTACGACGCCTCGTCGAATCCTTCTTACCGGCCAGAAAGAAGGATCCTGCCACAGATTTGTACAGTAGCCGTAGTTATGTAAGATTACTAATGTAATATTGCTTTGCAGAGTTTTTGTTCATCCGCTGGTCCCTTTGAAATGTAGTGTTTTGGAATTAAATTCTATGCATTGACGGGCCTTTGTGGGGCATCATGGTCTTGAGTCTGAGTGACACTGAGTGTATTTCATGTTCATGGCGAACCTGGCCTTGTTACACTGCTCGAACCTGTGTTGCGAGGGCCTTAAAGAAGGATCCTCTTATGCTACGAGGTCCTGAAAGAAGGATCCTGTGCTACGAGGGCCTTAAAGAGGGATCCTATGCTACGAGGAAATAGTAGTGGTCGTGGGCACCCCCCCTTCGAACTGGGAAAAGTAGTAGTAGTAGTAGTAGTAGTAGTAGTAGTAGTCGTAGTAGTAGTAGTAGTAGTAGTAGTCGTAGTAGTCGTAGTAGTCGTAGTAGTCGTAGTAGTCGTCGTCGTGACCACCCCTCCCCACCCACGGCGGGGAGGGAAGTAGTAGTAGTCGTCGTGCGCCCCCCCCTCCCCGGCCCTGGGCGGGAGGTAGAGGTGGGCGTCTACCCCCCCACCGGCTTTGAAAATTAGGACACCCTTCGGGGGCGGCCTCCGTTTTGGATTGTTGACAATGATAATGTGTATTTTATATACGGTATACCCTAGCAATCAAACCACCATTCTTTTAATAGCCCTCCCCGAACCACAATTGTTTTACTAAGGGTTTTACACTACAAAACCAGATCAACCATTTTAGAAATGGTGTTTGACTTCCAGGGTATATAAAATTGTATGAATTGGGTTGGGTTTTTGTGGTGCTAGAATGTTTTTTAATTTTTTTTTCGTTTTTTGGTGCTCGGGTGGACAAAGCTTTTGCAGGTATGTACTTGAAATACAAGGCCTGCCGTGTGTGGCTGAGATGGGGAATTGGAAGTGACGATCAATGAAATTGGCTGGGCAATCCACACTGAGGTCTGATGGACAACCCGTCGTCAAAGGCATCGATCTTTTGAATGAACCCATTTTTTGTGTGTTTGTGCTAGCATTCAGCGCTTTGCGTTTTCTATTTTTTTCTTTTCAGCAGGCGCTGAATGGCGAAAATATTGATCGTATCCAAGTCGCTTGGTTGATCTCTTTGGAGTCCGCGACGGGCGACTCATGTAGATTCGTTCTTTTGCTCTGGCGCCCAGTTAGAGACTGCGTGGTCTTGCCCCACAGTACCGCTCTGAGATCAGTGTGAGAGGTTCAAATTTTGCCCCCAAAAATCGAGAGTGACTATCCCAGGTTCGAACTGCCACGATCTCAGAGCCAATGACCACAGCAGATGAACACTTAAATCATCTCAAATCCTTTCTAGTTTCTTGTCAATTTGAGGTCCTTCGGATCACCGATGATCTGCATTTGAAGCTTGGCATGACGAACTTTTTCATGAGTCGAACGTCTTTGGCACACCAACTGGCTAAAGTCAATAAGGGATGACCAAATACGCAGCCCTTTCCTTAGTGAATTTGCTTCGAACATCAGGTCTTCCAGGCTGCAGGTTTGTTCACATTGTGGTCCATTGAGGCTCTGGTTCTGATGACATTGTGAGGGAAATTGTTGGTACGTGCTTGCCTCATTTGTCTTGGAAACTCTTGCAGCGCAGTATAGTCAGACACACTTGCACTGGACAGAATGCAACTCCCTGTTTCATGTTGGTATGTGGCATGTTTGGATAGCATGGAGGGTTCGAGCTGAGGGCAAGTTCGAGCTTTATGGCTGCCATGGCCAAGATTGACGAACTCAGGCAAACTTGTATTGAGTCCTGCCCATTGCTGAGCCCCGCACAGCACCTTTGTAAGTGAGAACACCTGCAGGGACGACGTCCAAGTTCAAAGGGATGAGAGGAGGGTGTGCCTTGAATCGTGGCTTAGGGGGCTCGCCGCTTTTGACACTGTTTCGTACGTTTGCACATGTATTCTGACAAGAGTGTGGTCGTCACACTGCTGAGTGATTTGTCGAGCGGTGCTGTCCAGTGATTGTCTTGCTTTCGGCGTATGTTGCGAGGCCGGCAAACATGAAACGTGCAGCCCCAAAATCCGGTGGGGAATCTTGTTTTAATCAACCGACTGAAAATTGTCCACGCTCGCTTTAGAACATCATGCAGCACGATGCAGTGGGAACAACGCATCGAAGCCGACTGACCACTTATCCTGGTCTGGTCGCAATGTGATCTGCTCCATGTCACCTACTGCAAAAGAAATATATATATATATCTAATGCAACAAGCCTACATATACTACGACAACCGTAAGCCAATGATCTAGATTCATTAAGGGGCTCCGTTCACCAACCAACCATGAAAGTATTACAAAAAAAGGGGGTCAACCAGCATTGGGGTCAAGACGCGCATCGCTCTTTTTTCAGTTGCCGTATGATGAATCGACCGTTATTGCACTCGCAACGTCCACAGTTTGAACCACGTTTTGCACGAGTCGGTTGCAAAGAAGGGCTGGGGTGTGTATTGTAGTGTTGCGACGATGCCAGGAGAAGCGTCAGGTACGTGAGTTTGACTTTAGGTCAGGTTCATTTCATCATTGAGTGTCATCGAACAGAACATCGTAGAAACTGAATGGAGAGCAACCCACACAATTGTTCCGAGCAGGAAACATGATTCATGACTTCTGAGCACAAGAAAGCTCCTTTCCCCCAATTCAGCTAGGAATTTTCTGAACATAGCCAGTGGCATGCTGAACACAGAGTTCAAAAGGACAACTAGTTGCCGTCCGAACTTGCCTTCCGGTTTACTGCACACTACGGATGCTGTTCAAATGAAAACGAAGAAGCTCTTCTCGACCAGCATGAGGTGCTTGAAACACAACTAGGATTCAACCACGCACTCCCGAGGCTTCACATGCGCATTTTAGGCAAGATTGCGTTCACCAAACCATGGACAATGAAACTTGAGCGTTTTCGTCCATTCCTTTGCCAAACTCTGTCTCAAACTGGAGAACTGATCTAATCGGTGCAGGCCCTTCACAATCACCAAAGGCTGTGAAACACACTCAACCCAGATCCTTCCAAGCCATTCACCTCACACAGCTTTGTCGTTTCGCCGGCCTCTCACAAGACCCAGAACATCCAACATTGTCACGTTCTGCCCTCGGGATCCTATTCCGACAATTGCACATAAAGGTTTGATTCTAGATGCACTTCTAGAACCTACACTCCCTGCAATCATGGAAGTGGATGACGTGGCCGCTTTGATGACCATTTTCCTCTACAAACAGGTGGTTTCCACTTTCACTTCCATGATGAATCAAGGGAGTGTATATAGTTGCTTGTCTAGGATCGATTGTGAATATTCGCCATGCTCAAGATCACATGGACCAGGTCCTGAGGACCCTCAACTTTTTTGTTTGGGGTGCCCAGTCGAATTGGTGGGGTCTCGGCTGTCCCAGCCACTGCTCCTCTTCGAGCATCCCCCTTCTCCTGCTCACTTTCCTTCTCGGCCTGGCGCTTGGCCTCCTGGTCTGGATCCTTGGGCTCTTCTACCTTAGATTTTGGTGGCGAGCCTGCAGCTCGGTTCGTGGCTCCAGCCACAGTGCACTCACGACTCAGAGCCTACGTGCATGGTGGAGGACGAGGCCATTGAGCTTTCACTGGAATTCCAAGAGCTTTCTCTTACAGTTCGTGGGAGGCGAAGACGTCTATGTTGGATGGTATAATGCACTTCAAGGAGGAGGCGCCCTTTGTCACCCCTCTTTCAAGAGATTTTGTGGCGGCAGCGCATGGATGGGTTTCAACTCAGGATCAGCCGGAAAGAATTGTCTTCTATTCGGCAGCCGAAGAAGAGAACCTTGACAGATCCTGGAAGTCAAAGAAGGAGGAGAACTACTTCTACAGCCAAAGGAGGCGTATCAGCAAAAGGCTCGTCAGACAGTTGCCTCTCTGGCGGAAGCTGTGTCGAGCATCAGCCTGGGCCTTCCTCAAATCACCAAGAACTGTCCGAGAGGACACTTCTACCATCAGGCTGAGGTCAGCACAGAGAGAGAGAGAGAGTGAGCCTTCCTCGCCATCCGCTGAAGAGTTAGTCCTGGCTAGTATAGCTTCGTTCCTGGCTATCGCCCTACACACGGCTACACACGGCTTGACAGCCCAGCTGCAGCCGCACTTCGTATGCTGGGTGAGGAGACACTGACGGAGCATGAAATCCTTGACGACCTCGGTGCCTCGCGCCCGTGCAAGACTTTGGACTTTGCCTTTGACTTTGTCGAGATTTGTGGAGGGTCTGGTGTCCTTTCCAAGGCAGCGTCAAAACGTGGCCTCCGAGTATGTGCACCCATCGAGTTGAGCTCAAGTCCTCACTTTGACATCACCAACCCATCTTTCCTCGATTGGATCATGCAGATGATTGTTGAGAAGCGCTTCCACAGCCTTGGGCTCGAGCCGGGCTTTGATAGAAAAAACCAAAGACCATGCTTGGGAACGTCCTGGGGTTTCCGTTGCCTCGTGATCTGCTGGTTCGCTATGCGACATGGGGCACCCTCACCACTTGAACAGCCTCGTCGCAGCAAGACGGGTTGGGTTGCAGCTTGGAGGTACTTGGCTGCAACGAGTCTGTGGTTGCCTCATGCATGTTGGGGTCACCTCATCGGAAGGAATTTCGGCTCACGCGGGGGCTAGATGCTGAAGCGTTGGAGGTCAGGCGTGCTGGTGGCCATAGTCACCTGAGGACCCAGAGCAAATATTCCAAGCTTTTTTGCCGAGCTTTAGCCCAACCCGCTGATGATGGTCCAAAAATTCAAGGGCGTGAATCCGTCATCTTGAACGACATCCTCGCGAGCTCAACTTGTAGTACCACAGCAGCTAGTTTACCAGCCACATCAATGTCCTGGAAAGTCATGCCTGTGTAGCTCTCCTCAACCACCTGGCATACAACAGTGGCTCACTCCGATTCCTGGCGCTTCTGGACTCTAGAGTTGCAAAAGGTGCTCACGGGAAGGGTCGCTCCCCTGCCCGGACTTTGCAGAGGTCGGTGAGGAAAGCCAGCGCGATCACGATAGCTGGGAATCTTCGCCCGTCGTTTGGTTTTGCTCTACAAGGCTGAACACTGCAGATGCTCAAAAAAGGGAGATGATCTACTTGCAAGAAGCTGGCATAGCAACCCATGCTCAAGATCACCCACCACTCCCGCCACTAGTCACTAGGATGCGCCGGTTCGAGCACAGCTTTGGCCAAATGGCCCAACAGCACAGAGAGCCTTCTTGGCTGGCGAAAGGAGAGTTTGAGATCCTATATAGTTACGTTTTGCATTGGCCACGAAAAACACAGGGGCCATTTCGGATCAAACTTGGGGTGTCATGGTCTGGCACACAGCGAGAACCACAACATTCACCCCCCACATCCGCGGCGCGATCGGAATTTAACAAGGTTCTACTTTTGCTTGTATGCTTCTCATCTAAGGCAAGCAGAAAGCAACCTGAGCAAAGGCAGGATGAAAACAGTCGGATGGCGAGCCGGCATTGTTTACTAAATTGTTTCCCTGGCAGTTGCCTATCAGTCACTTTATGGCCTCAAGCAGGTCCAGGAGCGACTGGATGGAAAGTATCCAAAACCGGTTGAGACGGCACCCGTTGTTGACAACATATGTGTGGATATGTTATGTATATATATATATATGTACGTACTTGGACCGGCCAAGCAGCACCTCAAAAAAGAATTGATGTTCAATGTCGAACTCAAGCTTTGTTACTTATTGTTACCTGGCACTTGTTGCAGGAGCCGAAGCAGACAGCAGCGCACCCAGAACTTGTAGAGGAACTTCTACGTCCAGCATGGGCAAACGGTCAGTGGCAGAATAGCCTTGAATGACCTCAAATGGATATTGGAAGTTCCAATTCAAAGCCTCTTTTTGGTCGTAGAATGGAGGAAGGCTTGAACGCCTGTGGCAGGTGACGCATGGAAGGTCAAGGCGACGAAGCTCTGTCGCGGCCTGAAGCTCCGCAGTCTGCTTGAGAGATGACCGGCGGTTTAAGGTAGGCAGCGCGCTCTCAAGCGAGGCAGTCCCGGCAGAGGGTTTTTCTGTATTTTCATCGCATTTACTTGACAGTTCGGATTGAAAATTGAAACGGAGTATTTTTCTTGATCACGAAAGCTAGCGCCAGCTGGCTGGCTTTAGGGCTGGAATCCTCAAGAGCGCCGCATCGCGTGAAAACTTCATATGTAGGGGGGCCCCTCCTCTCGCAGGTTCAACTCCTCCCTGGGACGTCTCTGGGACGTGGCATGGGGCCGACTGTCATCCGCTTCACCCCCGCCCTGCTAGCTTTCGTCACCAACCCTCGGCCTCAAGTCCTATCTGTTCCTGCTCGATCGCCAGGATCCACGGGAAGACCAGCTGAGACAGAAAGTCCAAGTGAAGCACTGGCCCTTTGACTTTTCGCTTCGCATCGTCGTGGACATCCATCTGTCCCTTCCGTCCGCCAGGTTTGACAGATGGATGTATGGACATTTAGCGGAGGAGCGGAATCTGTCCGTGCCTATGTGCCTTGCAGAGACCAGAGACCGCTGAGAAAGTTGATCGGTGATGACAATGCTACAATTGAAAGTGTGGCAGGTGTGGAGACTTGAAGGATGTAGTGTAGTGTAGACATGATTTTTTCAGACCGAGGTCGAGACAAAATGAGAACCGCCGGAGGCTTCCACCGGTGCGTGGAGCCGACCTGTTGCGCAGAAGTTTGGCACAAGAAAAAGATGTAAAATGAAGATCAGGTGTTAGATCGCCCTTGGATTGCAACTCCGGGTAGTTAGCAGCAGAACTTTTGTCCGCTTGTTTTTTGTACCTCATTGTTTGTTCTCACCGCCAGGATTGGACATGAGACTCTTGGGCCTTGCTGAGTGAGTGTTTGGGAAAGATGTGGGTGCAACTGGGTTTATATATATTCTGCCTTGGTCTGTCAAGCAGATCTTGAGGCAATTTTGGCCTATGGAGTTTGGTGATCAGATTATTTGGACCAGTCTGGCTGCGAAGCAGCTGGGCTAAGATGTGCTCCTGAAGGGCGCATGAGAAAGACCTGCACGCGGAGTTTTCCTTCAGGACATTTTGCTTCATTGGCAGGTGACATTATTTACCTCAAAATCCCTACAAGGCGCTGCAGCTTTTGTTACAAAAGGCCGCGGCTCTCGCACAGCGGATAGTGACTCCTCAGCTGATAGCCTCAGAGCAGAATTCACGAAGACAAGGAGCAGAATTCTCTTCTTTGTGCTTACAACAAGGACGCTAGTAGAAACAAGAAGCTACTAGGAACAAGTGCATCGCTTCTACGTACTAGTAGTAACAAGGACGCTAGTAGAAACAAGAAGCTACTAGGAACAGCCTTTGTGCTTTCTTTTTGTTTTTGGATGTTTTGGCTCTCAGCGGATTGATAGCTGATGTGCACATCGGTCATGGCGCAAGGTTTAAGGCCCAAGCTGCTGGAAGGTCCATGAGGTGATGAGCTCAAGCTTGCATATCAATACCCTTTCTTCTAACAGAGACGCACGTTAGGAGAATTTCCTAAGCTGGATGGAAATGGATAATTCTATCCAATATAGCTCTTTGCCATGTCGTCAGTGTGGCTCGGCAACCGTTTCTTCTTTGGCGTAATCGCATTTCTGGGGGTCCACGAGTGATTTAAGAAGCCGAGCCTAGGATTGACTTTGTCTCTGAGAGTCTGAAGAAGAACCCGCTTCCGCGGCAAGCCTTCCAAGAAGAGCTTCCCAGTGGCTGGAAGAGAATTGAGTCCCGAACAAAGCCAGGTCACTTGCCTCTTAAAGAACGGTCAGAGAGTTTTATCAAAGCTTTCCTGTGAAGACATGTCAAGCGACGGCCGATGTGCAAGGAACCTACTATTATGCTCACCCCGCGACCAACCGCACTCAGGACATACTTTAAAACTTTAAGGTGTCGATGTATCCTGCTAGCAGCTAGCATTCTCCATTCCTTCGGTTGAACGATGCTCGGTGTATGCTTGTAGAGCTTGCGAGCTATTCAGCTGAATGTTCAAAACTTGTTGCGTCCAGGTTCAACCGCCTTCAGGAACGAAGCAAGTGCCTGCTAATGGAGAGGGGCAGAAGACCTCCAAGGTGACAAGATGGGTTTCCAGCGGAATATCAACATTTTCTTCTTCCTTTCAGCTTTTCATAGGAAAATCGATCATTGGTTGCCGATGCCGATCCCATTTGTGATCGATTCTGGGTGCCAGTTCAGAATTTGCGGCGCATCGGCCCATGAGGCGCGCACTGCAAAAGAGGAGGAGGCCCAGAAGCAAGCTCAATTAGCTGCTGACAAAGAGCAAGAAAGAAAAAGGAAGCATAAGGAGGTTGAGGAGGAAGCTGAAGCTGAGGAGGACTGCGCAGCTTCTGCCACACACTTTCAGGGTTGGCTGATTGGTTTTGGAGAGGAGTTAGTTGAAGAAGAGAAGAGGCGCATCAAAGCAGCAAGAAAGGCAGGAATTGGACACATGAAGTATTTGCCTCAATGACTTGGGCAGTAAAGTTTATTGAACCATTGATTTTTCTGCTGGTTTTCCAGTGCTTTGGCTCATGGTGTGTTCCGCCTCGAGAGAGAGAGAGAGAGAGAGAGGCGAAAGAGCTTGAGCTAAAGAGAAAAGCCCAAGAGGCTGCTCGCCTTGAAAAAGAGAGAAAGGAGAGGGAAGCAAAGCTGGAGAAGGAGCGCCTACAAAGGGAGGCAGAGGAACTGAAGCGAAAGCATTTTGGACGAATTTTTGTGCAGAGTTGTCATTTCCAACTCTTGGATTACAATCCGTGGATCCGTGGTTAACCGACTCAAAAGTCATAAGGCAAGAACTTGAAGCCCTGGCCGAAGAGCGCCGCAAAAAAGAGGCTGAGGCTCGAGCAAAGGAGTGCACCCGCTGTGACGAAGAGATGCCGAGAAAACTACTAGGGGCTCCTAGCATTGCTACTAGGAGCAAGAAGCTACTAGCTGCAAAGGGCATCGCTATTAGGAGCAAGAACGCCTTCATGTTTTTTTCAGTGGGGAGCAGCTTTTAGGAGCATGAAGCCCAAAGGCGCAAGGCTGGAAGCAAATGTGGCAAATGGCACTTCCTCGGAGTATTGTCAACCAAACCGACGAAACCGAATGTGAAATTCCTAAGTTACAAGGGTCCAAGAGAATTTGAAAACTGTGCGAATGGAGCCCGTGCAGGCTATGGTCTTTGAGCAGCATTCCATCCTCCAGAGAAAGCTTGCTGAAGATGCTCGAAAGCGGCAAGCGGAGGAAGAGGAGGAAAGAAGAAAGAAAGCTTTAGAAGAGAAAGCGCAGGAGAAGGCCAGGGCCACGGGGCGTACGGATACACAACCAGCGCAGAAAAGAAAGCAAAAAGCACCAGATGTTGAAAGCACTGTGACAGGAATCTCTTCACGTAGAGTATTGAGCATTCCAAAGGTCAACCTTCTGGAAGAGTCTACGTTGTCCAGCCAACATGTTTTGCGGCAGACGTGTCAGGAGCAGAAGGAGCAGAAAGTTCAGAAAACAAATGAAGCAGAAGAAGCAGAACGTAAGGCAAAAGCAGCAAAGATGGATGCCAAGGCTTGATGCTGTTGACCCTTTTGCTGTTGACCCTCGAGATAGATGCCAGGTTTTTGCATGTTTTTGCTTGACAATGCTTTTCAATCAGCCCCAGTTTTGCTCTTTTGGAGCTTCTTAAGTTCTCCTTGCTTTAGCAAGAATGCATTATATTGGAAAGCCGGTGGACTGCAATGAATCATCGGCCTCCCCTTGCCTGGATCAACCCCCCTCCATCCTCATGCATTTTCTGCATCGGAATAGGAACTAGCTCGTGCTTGTACCATATATGTAGCTGTTTTAGGTGCTACACTTTTCAGGAGAGGAACAACACAAACTATACAATCAATGAAACGTGCCTCTTTAAGGCTTTTGTTTCTTGTGCCGGAAATTCCTAGCTCAATAAGCCCCCTGGCTTACCTGCTAGCTGCCTTTCGTTTGTTTGAAGTTCACGGGCATGTCACCGGCGCTCGTTGCAGATTTGGAACCAAAGAATTCCAGATATGGTGGACCCTGTGTCGACTGCTTGCTTTGAAGTATTCAAGTTGGGCAAGCATCTTCGCACACATGTGCTGGGCGGTGACAAATCTCGCTGGATCATAGGCGGCCGTGGTGAAAGTTTTGGTTTTTGTGATTGATGTCTTTTCAAGTCTTTCCTCACTTTCTTGGCCTCCTTGTTCCAATTACCCTGAGGTCGTGGGCCAGCAGGTGTTGACATCGCGATTGGCAACCCAAGAATTTCAAGAAAGCATGTAGCTTGGAGGAGGCCATAATCAACCATAGTGACAAGTGTTTCCTGAGAGTTTCTTTACCTTTTGGTGAGACGGTGCCGGGCTTGAGAGATGCATCTGAGGCAGAGATAACGACGCAGGGTCCCTTGATGTTTCTGAACGACCTCGGATCGACCTATGGCACGGACACTGGGACTATTCAGAATCATTTGCCAGCGGTGGTCACTCGTGATTTGTGACTGGCGAGGCGATGAACAAGGAGAAGTTGGAGGCAAAGTCTCCAGTTGAACTTGTGACTGGTGCAAGGTGGGAGTTGTGCACCTTGTAGGGCCTGTTCGGAGTTGCAGAGCGAGCCTTCCAAGCGGTGCAGGTTCCGCTTTGGAGGCCTGCCGGAGCTCTATGTGTACAGGGAGCCTGTGGAGGAAGAAGAGGAGCCTTCGTCACCGCCAGTGGAGGCGGAGGTGTGGCAAGCGTGCATGCTGGTTGAACTGTACCTTCAAGTGGATTGAAGATGTGTTGCACAGATGCCCCCCACCTTGGACGGAGTCAGAAGAGAGAGAGAGAGAGGTGGTATTGCTTCATAATCGTTTGTATCGAGTTTATATCTCCTTTTACTCCACTCTTTCCTCAAAGTTTGCGCTACCTGTCCATGCTTCTGCTCTTGTTGGTGTATTTGTTGTCCAATTGTTTTCGATCATGTGTCGTTCTTTGATGAATGGCAGTAGTGTGCTAGTATTCTGGTCCTCCATCTTCGCGTGTAGGTCCGTAGAAGTCGCTTATGGGTTGTATATGTACTCCGTTCCAGTATGGACCTTCCTTGATCCAATAGTCTTTGGTATCACCCGTATTTAGTCGTGGTGATGGGATTGCAGTTGTGCTGGTGGGATATTGCTTCTCCATGGCTCTCCTTCCCAATGTTGGGTGTAGTGATGATAGTTGCTCTTTTTGTGTCATGTGCTGGGCTGCTGCTACCGCTGCTCCTGTAAGCGGTCTGAACCATGTCGGGCCTTCTACTGCTCGACGTTGTTTCTTCCTGGTGAGGGACTTGTATGAGTCCACTATTTCAAGTGGTGGTTGTCCGTTTTGTTGTACTAGTACGATGGTCCATCTGTAGTTGACGCAGTTGACGCATTTGCAATCTGGTGTCAAAAGCTCCCGGCGTGATCGATTGTTTATCCTAACTAGATACCCCTCGTTGTTGTACTACCAAATGTTAGTATTGTTAGTTTTCAAAACAGGGGACCGCCAGAGTGCGTATTTTATTTGTTTTTGCTGCCTACTTCCATCTATGTGCTATAAACTTGACACTGTGGCCTGCATTCATGCTATGTGTCTGTGAAAGCTGCCTCAATGTCCTTTGCACTGGAAAACAAACACAAACAGTCTCGATAAAATATAGAGAAACCCAATAACAACCTAGGAAAAGCAAAAAAACCTTGGGAAAACCAAAAACAAAAAAAAACAAAAAATAACACAAGAACCCCAAAAAACAAAACAACCAATTCTCAGAGACTCTTGGCTGGACCCCCCCCTTTCCTCAAGACTTCCCCAGAATTGTTTCTTTTTTGATTCTTTTGTTTTTTTTGTTTTCCCAATTTTTTTTGGCTTTTCCTAGGTTGTCATTGGTTTTCTCAAGTTTTTTTTTTGGTTTTCCTATTTAGGTCAATCTGTGTTCTTACTATTTCGTTCAACCTTCAAGTATGTGAGCCTAAGTCTCACCTAAAGGCATATGTTCTTTGCTCTTGCAATGAAAGCGTCTGAGCCCACCACTCCCTTTGTCCTTGTCGAAATCTCCATGTACAAGTCTGTGCATTAACTTCTGATTGGTATCAATGTGGTTGCCAATTGCATGTCCAATCAGCTTGACATGAAA